GCACAATCACATGCGAGCAGAGTAAACAGGAGGGGGCTCAACACACATCCCTGAGGAGAGCCAGTGCTGAGGGCCATGGTGGAGGAGGAGAAGCTGCGGATCCTCACCAACTGTGGTCTGTCCGTTAAGAACTCTAGTACCCAGCCGCAAATGGAAGAGCCCAGTCCCAGTGTGAACAGTCTGTCCACCAGGGCCCGGGGGACCATGGTGTCGAAGGCAGACACAAAGCCCACAAAGAGTACATGGACAAAAGAGTCTCTCTGCTCCAGGTGGCCGAGTGCAGCGTGGACCACCTGGACCACCAGTGTGGATGAGATGGCATCCTCCGTTGACTGGTTCTCACGGCACGCATATCGATGAGGGCCTTCATCGATGTTGATGGCTGTCCTGATGTGAGTCGTAACCAGTTTCTTGAAGCATCCAGCGACCATCAGGGTGAGGGCCACCGGCCGACAGTCACCCAGACCAGTCACTCCAGAGCCCCTTGGGACTGGGACGATGGTGGCAGTCCCTAGGCAGGCGGGAACCATCTCCAGGGCAAGCGAGGTGCTAAAGATGTCCCCCAGCACCTGCAGAGCCGATCGGCACATTCTCCCAACACTTTTCCGGGGATATTGTCTTGGCCGGTTGCCTTGTGCGGATGAATCCTCCTGAAGGTACTCCTTACTTCGGCTGAGGTCACGCTGAGACGCTCTTCATCCGGTGGTGGGGTGAGTCTGGTGCTGGGTGGTCTGTTCGGGTCCTCAAAGCGTGCATAGAACTTGTTGAAGGCATCAGGCAGAGATGGGTCTTTGGGGCATTGTTTGCTCCTTCCTTTATAATCTGTTATACACGTAATGCCCCTCCACATGCTCGGAGGGTCGTGTGAGGTGAATTGACCCTCGATCCTCTGTGCATATGTGGCCTTGGCCCTCTTAATGCCAGCAACCAGCTCTTTCCTTGTCCTACTCAGCTCCTCTGAACTTCCAGACCTGAAGCATCTACGTTTACCTCCATAAGTAAACACTTGATTCAATAATTATTTAAGAGAGATCAGCACAAGTAGCACTAAGCTAGCAGCACTCAATACAGACATGCTAGCTAAGATGCTACAGATGTAGCACTCTGCTTTACATTACACAGCCTGATAAATGCTTTGTACAAAATCAGTTTAGTTTTAACTGATCATAACAAAGACTAAACTTATGTCAACAACCAGAAGTTGCAACATATATCTACATTTAAAACACACAAAACAAACTTTAAGCTTTAACCTTTAATTTACCCATTAAGCATACAATGTAATTATGACAGAAAATAGAGGATTTACCTGCAGTTACCTTCATACAGATGAACATGTGGTACTTCCTGTTTATCACTGTTGTATTCATGTATTCATGTTGCTCATGAGGTCAGCCACATTGATTTATCATCTTTTACATTCTTCCAGACTCAGTTTAGGTTTTGGAAATTGAATAAAGTGTATTCCACCCTTTAAATCAGGACTATTCAACTAAACTGCTCAGGGGGCCACAGTTACTGAAAACCAGCAGCTCAGGGGCCAGACATGCAGCGATTAAAGTCATTATGTAAATAAACCAAGTATTACAATGATCTGTTACCTTTTAAATTTGTTTGTTTTATTGCATTGAATCATAAATGTAATAAACAGAACCCAAAATCCAGAACTGCCCCCAAAAAAATAATCATATATATATATATATATGATTATTTTTATATATATATATATATATATATATATATAATTTTTTTTTTATTTTTTTTACTTTACTTTTTAGGGGTGCTGAGTTAACTCGCCACTGCGAGTCAGATCCTCAATGCCACCTGTCAACGAATCCAGCAGGCTTGTCAGCAACTGACCAATCAGCAATCACAGTTTGTCCCAGAGTGAAAAGCCCCATACCTGCAAGAGCTCCGCCCCCTTTTCCTCCGATAACATTGCAATTTGCATTGCACTGATTTTACACACAGTGTTTATTAGGTTGTGTAATGAAAAGTGACTCGCTATGTCTATAGCACCTTAGCTAGCGCTACGTTAGTGCCAGCAGGTTTTTTTTTTGGGGGGGGGGGGGTAAGATGTAAGAGAGAGGCGGAGCATGCTCTGTTCACACAAGGAAGGCTGTTGGTCAGGCTACTTATCGTTGTGCCGTGCTCTCTAAAATAGTTATTGAATCAAGTGTTCACAAATGTGGTAGATGTTTAAAAACCTGTTAAAATACATCAGAATGCACGAAATGTCATCTACTTTATTCTAAATGTTCTCGGGGAGGACCCCCCATCACCATCACCACCACCACCATCACCATTACCACCAGTGTGTCCCCCAACATTACAAATGCTTTTGACGACAATGGCCACTGCGTTGTTCAAGCCAAGAGTCATTGTCAATATTGGGGGCTAAGCACCCCTAAAGATCAGATCCTAAGATCGCCCCTGGTCAGAACGTCACAGTTTGTGTTTCCACTCACAAAGTGACCAACTCAATCCTCAGTATTATTTAGTTTATTTAATTTTTTATTTTTTTCTGTAATTCTAAGAGCAGATCTCCTCCAACATGCCGCCAGACTCTCCAGACTTGGTGTGGGACAAAAGTTGTTTCATATATTTTTTTTTTAGAAAACAAGCCTGAATACTAATTGTTCTTTTCCTCCCCCTCCTGGTCAAGAACGCCATGCCAGATTATTTCTCTGACAGATACACACAGGTGTGGCTTAAAAAAAAACACCAACTTCTTGAATATATCTTGGGTCACTGAGCAACCAGCGCTAAACTTGGTCACAATTTGTTCACGTGCTCCCTCTCTGCTCTGGGTTTTTATCCCAAAGCTCATGCCACTTCTTATGTGAAGGTTGCTATACAGTCCACATCTGTTCTGTTGCAGCAGTTAATGGATGACCTGCTCCTTAGAAGTAGAGATGTGATGTGGCTGAAACTTATTTGTCGTCTCATTTCTGTGTTCATTCAAGACATCCGTGACGATTTGGTAGAAATGCATGTTCAGGTACAGCCCTAAGGGGCATCAGTAGTGCTCAGTCGGTGGTGGACTCTAGAGCCCCATAATGCTCCACCAACATCTTTGCGAGCTGAATAAATGTGTTTAGTAACCACTGAGTCACATGTCAAATGATCTGGATAAAAAGATGAACATTGCAAAAATAATAAGATCCCTGTGGAGCTTAAACCTCCAAAAGAAAGAAAGCACAACTGATTTTCTGTGATTTTCTCACTGTATCTCAAATACTACATTTTCTGTATTGTATCAAAAAGGTGGTGTAATCAGGCGGGAACGATAACAGTTTCACCATACTGCATGGCAGCATCCTGCGAGGGTTTACTTAGTGTAACGTCATTAACTTGGGGGAGCAAAGTTTTGAGCAAGCTTGCCACACAGTAGAGCCTGAAGCCTGCTTTTATGGGCCTTTTGAACATAAGTGGAACAATAATTTACAAATGATCATTAACACAGGGCATCTATGTGGCCACTGAGAGTTTTCTGGAATCAATTTTGGCTAAACGTGTGCCCTCTGTCACCATGTGGCTCTTTAATTACTCCATGTCCCATATTTTACTCTGTCACTGTCAAAAAAAAGACCACTCTATTGGTGGCCTGTGATTTAGAGATAGAAAGAAACTGGATTCTGTTCAATTGTGCTTAAAAATAGACTGACAGCTAAATCCCCAACTTGTAATTTTGGCCTAATGTACTAAAGACTTGGCAGTTTGAAGGGTTTTAATTATTACCAAAGTGAAAGTGAAATAAAGGCTGATTTTAAGTGTCGCCGGTGCTTGTCCCTCAGGTCCACTTCGACCCGGGACCTGGGCCATCCTGCTGCTGTGTAACAGGCAACATAATCAACACCTTCATAAAGCTCTCACTGCTCTGTAATCACAATCAGCTCTCCTCTGTTCTCGTGTCAGCTCCCATTCCCCTCAAATCCGCCTCCTTATTAGAGACGGAGTGGGCTGCCATGTCACTGTTTACTGCCAAGCAGCCTGCCATGCAACAGAGGAGACACAACACTGAGAAAGAGCGTGCGAGGGGTTGTGTGTGTGCATGTTTGTTTCCAGCCCTCTCTACCTACGCCGTGAACACAACAACAAGCTGCCATGTTGGAGGAAGTTCTGAGTTTGTGTGAACATGAAGTCAACAGTTTGTGCACGTGTACAGACTCAGTACCACCTGCTGCCCAAGACAGAAGGACAATAAGCTTGTTGCACGTCTGTGTGCTCATGTAAAACACGCCATGGACCGCTAGACGGATTTTAATCAAACTCTCTGAGAAAGTAATTATTGGACATACAGTAATTACGAATACAGGAAGAGTTGAGTAAGTGAAGACAGCAGCAGAGTGAGGAAATGTGGTCAGTTTGTCCTCCAGCAGCCTAAGCTTATAGCAGCATAACTAAGGGACAGCTCAGGAAACCCAAGCCAACTCAAACTATAGGATTCATCAAAAAGGAAAGACTTAAGTCCAGTCTTAAAACTGGACAATGTGTCAGCCTCATGGACAGAAACTGGAAGTTGGTTCCACAAGAGAGGAGCCTGATAACTGAAAGATCTTCCTCCCATTCTGCTGCTGGAAACTCTAGGAACCACAAGTAAACCTGTGACCTGTAAACCAAATGGTTACAAGTCCATAATTTCTCATTATAAGATGATCTGAGTTCAAAACTCATGACATGAAAGGTGGCAGATGATATGCAGACCTTTAAAGATTTAGTTCAAATACTTTCTGCTGTGTAGTCCCATATGTTTTTATTTATTAAATGTGGTGCATCACCCTGATGCATCTTTACTGGAATAATATTGAAGAAGACGAATAGTTTATGAAGGATGTCACATGGAGCGTGGTGTTTGAAACGTTCTGCTACAGACATGCTGACAGGGTCCTGCTCCAGATATGTGGAGAGCTGTTATGAGTTGTGACTTTCCCTCTGGACACCATCCAGCACCACAACACCTCCCCATTGACCTCACCTCCTTGTGTGTCTTTGTGTAGGCAATATATAAGATGGTGTCCTCTGTGATGAAGATGCCTGAGGACGAGTCCACGCCTGAGAAGAGGACAGAGAAGATCTTCAGGCAGATGGACACCAACAGAGACGGTATGCTAATCTCCATTAGCTTTACAGTAAAGTTATATTTTTCCGTGAGCTGAAGGGAGAACTAGGACAGAGCTTTAGGGCCATGTGAAGAAAAAAATAATAAAACCCATAAAATTATGAGAATAAAAGACTTCTTTTTTTTTTTGCAGCTCTCGTTTATTTTATTTTTTTTTCCACGAGTCGGATCCACAACACGACGTGTCAATCAATCCAGCAGGCGTGTCAGCAAATGACCAGTCTGAAGCTAAATGCTCCTTACCTGCAGAGCTGCTGCAGAGCTGCTGCAGCCCATCAGAGCGTACCACCTGACTGTGAGCAGGTTCAAAGTCCTGATACTGATAATAATCTGATGCTGATGTGCTGACAGATTAACTATCTACTTATCTGTAAAACCATTACCAAAGTATAATTCTTCATTTTACCACAGTTAAAATGCAGTAAACCCTGTTTTATCGTGTCGGAGTTCAGATAATATTACATTTAGCTTCAGAGTGGTCGTTTGCTGACACACCTACTGGATTGATTGACAGGTCGCGTCGTGGATCCAACTCGTAGAAAAAAAAAAAATAAATAAACAAATGAGAGCTGTTAAAAAAAACAAGTCTTGTACGACTTTATTCTCATAATTTTATGGCTTGTAATTTTTTTTTTTTAGCGTGGCCCTAAAGCTCCATCGTAGAGAACATTTGTTAAACTTTACATAAAAGTACA